ACACACACACACACACACACACACACACACACACACACACACACACACACACACACACACACACACACACACAAAAAGAGCACATCAGCAGTGGTTTCACACCAAAAACCACCCTTTTATCTAGATATGACTAATAATAGTCGGGTAATGCCAGCATGATTAAACTTGCTTAAAATCAGCACAATGTTTAGCACACTCATTTTGCTTTAGTGTCTTCATATGCAAACATTCGCTTACTATTTCTAAACATATCTGAAGCTAACCGAGCAATTTGAAGGAGTCATTAATGAAAATGAGACGCTCGACATTTTATCTCGGCAGCTGAACTTGAGAAAAAGTAAAACATGAGAGTCTGCAACGAGAACATGATAATCCAAACGGGTGTGTCAACCACAGGGGTGAATATCACTCGAGCTGCACTGTGGTTAAAACGTAAAGTAACCACACCAAAACACAATGACCCACTGAGCCTCTACCCAGTTGTTCATGCAGATGATGAGCGACAATTATGAAAAACATTCAGAAGCCACAACTCTCAAACTTCCTCCAAACATTAATATGTGAGATTATGGACTGCACCAGCTTAACTGAGCTGAAGTGCTTCTACCATGAGGCAGCGAAATGAAGTTTACTGAATGCATTTGCAACTCTAATTTCAAAGAAGCATATCGTCAACCTTCTGGAAGTTTTCCAAGACTCACGCGCCCTTCTCTTGAAACTACACACCCTTGGTGTCCAATTATTGGGCATGCCATCCTCCAAAAATTAAAATTAAAAACCCCCAAACACCTCTCTCTGAGTTCAACCCAGTAAAAAAAATAAACAGTTACATTTTTCTCATTATCTTTTTCTGACTTTTTCACAAGTCGTTGCTGTAACAGATCCTGTGTGAATCGTTACCCAGCGCCACTGGTGTGTAAAGAGTAATGTAAAGAGTAACATGAGCAGGTATAAAAAGAGCATCTTGAAGAGGCAGGGTTTCTCAGAAATAAAGATGGGCAGAGGTTCAACCAGTCTGCAAAACTGTGGACTTTGAATAATGTTCCTCAATGTCCAGCTACAAAGACTCATAACATATCATCAAAAGACTCTCTGGAGAAATTTCTGTGCGCAAGGTACAAGGCTGGAAATCAACACCGGATGGCTGTGATCTTTGTGCATTTAAAAAAAAACAAAAAAAAAAAACCCCAAAAAGAACAGAAAACACACACACACACACACACACACACACACACACACACACACACACACACACACACACACACACACACTGTGCCATGATACTTCAAAGGAAATTACAACATGAGCTCAGGAACACTTACAGAAGTCACCGTCTGTGAACATAGCTCACAGTATGACACAGTATGACAGACTAAATCTCTATCACACTGATCAAATACAAAAGAAATTTCATCTCCCTGCACATCACTCCTTCAGATACAGTCAGGTTCAGGACTTCATAAACAAAACAAAACAAAAAAAACATACAGAAAAAAAGTACTTTTTAAGACAAATCATGTTTTTATAATGTGCTGAACTGATCTATGTTGAACGTGACCAACATTCATTGACATTTCACAGGATATATGGACCCTGTGTCTCTCCTGTTGGAACAGCTGAGTCAGGATAATATCATTGATGCCAGCTTGAACAAACGTTATCATATCCTTGCATAGGTTGCAAGGAAAAACATTTTTATGTCTCAGATAAATGACGAAAACCCCACAGAGACATCTTGGCACAGAATTCTTATTCTTTTCAATCATCTTTGGGGCCTGTACTCCACTACTGGGCACATCTGTCACTACTGGTTTGCTCTTTGTTTTAAGCCTCATCTTAGTATCCAGAGTGTTCCCCGGCTTCTACCCCATGACAGCTGGGATAGCTTCCAGCACATTTTCTCAGTTCCGACATTTTAATGTTGGAAACATCCCAACTTTTGTGGAATTTTTTTGTACACTTAAGGAGGTGCAATAATTCATCAGCACGCCATATTTTATCCCATCACAGAAGCTGAGAAATTTTAGCACCTTGTTATTATATTTGATAACAAACTGAAAGCGCAACTCAGCTTTCCCACACACGCATTAGTAAGACGCTTGCGTTGTGTTTAGTCTCCTAACTGTACAGGTGACCAACAACTCAGACACTGATGAAGGTGCAGCAATTTTGATCAACTCTAGTCTGAACAGAGCCTTCAGCTAAAATGTTTGGCTGTTCTAACTTCAGTACACCAACTCTGCAATACAGAGCAGTACAGTGCTGCCCTCTGCTGGATGACGCTGTGACATGTCACCGTTTTGTGACTCAAAACTGTGAGACCTGTCTATCTGTTTGAAAGTTCGGAAATTCTGAAAACCCCTCAGGGAGTAGAGAGATCGTCTGTGTGACAATTTTTCTTTCCGTGACACCAACATTTCAAACATTACACCCACTTTCTGGACATCTGTGTAAAAGCTCTTCCCAGCTACCATCATTCTACCCACCTTCAACTTCAGGCATGAAACGTCACCAGTTACAAGAACATTATCTTGTATTACAGTAGTGTTAACATGCACATTATTAAAAATGAATCAGACGTGATTGCTGCAGGCCTGCACAAATTGGATTAGCCTGTATTCTTTTTGGCTTGTAGAACTCGAGTATCACCATACAATATTTATTCTACTTCCCATTATCATCAGTGTGCAGCAGCATCCAATATGGCTTCATTCTGGGTGGCAGCTGGAACACTAGAGGTCAAACGCATTGGTTAACTTTTAAAACTACAAACTTTATACACTTACCAGCTATATTGTTAGCTAATGCAAATATCTAATCAGCCAATCACATGGCTGATTAGATATTTCAGTGCATCTATGCACAAGGACATGAACCTGCTATGAAAGACAGAAAATATCCAGAGAGCAGCAGTTCTTTAGGAGAAAATGCCTTGCTGATTGGAGACGAATAATTACACTGCTTCAAGCTGCTGGGAAGGTTGTTAAGATGTGTACTGGTTAACCTGTCATTCAAGCATTCTTGTGGGATGACACATCCAGGTGCCAGCAGCACCTGGATGTGGAATTGGTCTTAAGAGGTTTGATTTCTGCTGCAAAATTCAGTGGAAATGTGAAACATGAAAGAATGGTAAATGGCCTGTATTTGTATAGTGCTTTACTGCATCAGCCTTGCATCAACAGTTTAGGCTGGTGGTTTTGGTGTAATGGTGTAGACATTATTTTCTTGGTCCACTTTGGGCCTACCTCATGGTCATGATCAGCTATTACAGTATTGTTGCTGACCATGTTCAATCCTTTATGACCACAGTGCATTATCCAGGAAGATATTGTGCCACGTCACAAAGCTCACATCCTCTCAAACAAGTTTCCCCTCAATATGCCCCCAGCAGTCACCAGAATTCAATCCAATAGAGCAACTTTTTACTTTAATATCACATCATGGATACGCTGCAATTATGTGACGCTATCAAGTCAATATGGACCAAAATCTGATATACAAAAAATTAGGGTTGTTCTGAAGGCAAAACTGGGTCTAGGTGTTCCTAACAAAAAGGTAGATAGAATCGCATTTTTCTATTCTGCGCTATGCCTTAAAATAAAATAAAAAATAACAAGTTCAACAGAGCCACTATAGCTTTGCTACTGACAACTTCAACATTTTATCCAAGGAAGTGGAGCTGCACATCACATCACTCACCGCAGTTTTCCTCGTCGCTGCCGTCAGAGCAGTCTTTTGAGTGGTCACACCTCCAGGCGTGACGGATGCAGTGACCGTTCTTGCACGGAAACTCTGACGCAGCACATCTCGGTGACGCCTGCGGGAGGGTTTGAGCTAAACCACACAACTCCTCGGTCTCATCACGTCCATCTCTGCAATCAGTCTGCCTGTCGCAGACCCTGTTTCTGGGCAGGCAGGCATCAGACGGCCCACAGGAAAAGAAACCAGCAGTGCAGTTCATGCAGGAAGCCTCGTCGCTCCCATCGGCACAGTCATCCACACCATTGCATAAGAAATCCATTGATATGCACCTTCTGCTCTGGCAGGCAAATTCACCTTTGGTGCACCACACATGGCCTGTGAAGAGTCACAGCTAAAAGTTAAAACTAAAATTCAAGCATGCATGTCTATTGTGCGTGTGTAATTTATCTGAAACAGACAAGAAAACAAGAGCGTGATCCGACATAGTAAATGTGTCTAATGCTCCTAGTTATACTGGATTAACCTGGATTGGATTAGTCTCTTTAAAGTCTCCTGGCCTAACTGATGAACCCTGCATTTCTTAGTAGGACAGTGAGAATAAATTATTCACTTTTTTAGTTTTCTTGGCCAGCAGTCAAACCAAAACCCTTCAGGTTTAAGTCACACATCCCCAAGCTCTAAACAACTCTGCAAATATTCCAACCTGCTGGCTTCATTCACGTCAGCAAAGTTTATGTTCACACCTAATCCTTTCAGAAGTACTCCCTCCTGCAGGGTTCTGTTTGGCAAACCCGCAGGCTGATGTACGTGATGAACACTAAATCTCTCTGGAATTCGATATCAAAGACTCTCATGACTTCAGCAGGATTAGAAAAACAGAATCTCAAATGGCATATTCCCACGCAGCAAGAGAACAGAAGATAATCTGTTCTGCAAAAGAAGTCCAAAAGGTGCAACAGTATACAATATGCCATAAATCTTGAGTAGGACAATTATTAACAGTGCAGATTTAGATTTATTAACATTATTAAAGTATCAGTCATGCATGGAACATAACATCTCAACTATGCTGCCTTATTAAAATTAAAATAAATAAATGGATAAAATGTTCAATTTTATTTAAAAAAAAATCATATTTAGAAAAAAAGTAAATTCTGCATAAGTTGCTGAGAAAGTTGTCCTAATGTTGTAATAGGCCAAACAGATTACACCATCTGTGTTGCTAAACACAAAGCAATGAGCATGTGTGTGATGAAGCGCATGTGTGCACTCACTGCAGTGGAGTTCGTCCGATCGGTCCTCACAGTCTGCATGTCCATCACACACCTTCAGGGTGGAGATGCATGCGCCATCGCTGCACGTGAATTCTCGCTGCTGGTGACAGGCGGGCACAAAGTGACTTGCAGCGCCTGGAAACGAGGCACATTGAGTGTTTTACTGCTGTGGGAAAGAGCTGATAAATTAATGAATTATTAAAGATAAGAAAGGACTTGTTCATTACATTGCTGACAAAAGAGGTATTTTAATAATATCCAAGAGTACTATATTTAATTTTTAAAAACCCATTCATTAACCTGCTAAAATCAACCGGCAACACGCACATTTTCCAAAAAGTTTCCCCCCCAAAAAATCACATTAAATCAATCACAATGTGACAGGCTCTCGTACCAGGTTTGTTTCATGCAAATGCATCATAATGATTCATTCTGCCCTAACAGACTGTGACTGTGCAAACATCGCATAATATAATTTTGTTTTTAGTGTTTTATGTTGACAGACTCGCGCACGCAACAACCCGAACATAAAACGCCTCGGCTTCTGAAGCACTGTTTGTCTATGGTTTAGTAACAGTAAAAGCATAAACACGTCATGAGTAACAGACCAAGAACAACCCCGCTCGCGCTGCAAGCACGCTTCATTCAAAGTAACAGGCGCTCTGCACGCGCCCCGAAAACGACATGCAGGTTCATTTCACACACACGCAGAAGCAGCTTTTTCTTTCCACAACATACCCCAAATATAGAAGGAGAGACCCACGACCAGAAGAAATACAGCTCCAAGGTGTCCCATGTTCAACGTCCTCCACAGAAACGAGGCAGATGGCGCGCAAATATGACGCAAGAGCCGAGCCTGTCAACCTGTCAGGTCTCCGAGTTGGTACTTGTTTCGTCCGCCGTTCATACTTCGTTTCTTCGTCTAGTTGTGTTATTTTTATGCTCGTGAACTGGCTCGTGTTGAGTAGAAACGGCTGTATGTTTTGTACTTGTTTATCTTTATATCGCCGCAGGTTTTAACATGGAAATGCCTCAAACGGTCCACTTTTCTTTTCCAAGATTCTCTGCCTTTTTCTGTATATTCAACATGTTTGATTATATTGATTAACAAACTTTAATAGAATTTGTGAAAAGGTTGGTTATATAGAAAATAAAGAAATTACATATATGACTCTGATTAATGTGTCTACATTATAATCAGTCCACGTCTTTGTGGACATTTACAGTATCTTCATGCAGCTGTGATATTTGTTGAGATCTCTCCTCGACGTTCACGTGAAATAACACCTTATAAAGTGCTTCCAGCTGAAATGATGACAAATTCCGTGCTGCTTGTTATGTGAAAAATCTGAAAGTTGTGGCTGAATTGGACACAGTGAAAATCTTCTGAATTCTCAGTGTTTCCCTGTGTGTTCATGCAGTCTGCGCGCACACAAAAGACTTAGTGTTAGTTATCAATTTATTTATTTATTTGTTTTTTGCACTGCATTAGATAAGGTCAAAGTAGGGGTTTCAAAAATGACAATGTTCTCATTTGTGTTATTTGTGTGTTATAATCTTTATGAAAAAGTAAAAACAAAATGTAAAAATAAAAATTGGTATATGGATTTGTGAATGCAATAACTCAAGAACGAGGCAACGTAGAATTTTCAAATCAATACCATGGTTGCATTTACTGAAACTCTCTGCAAGGTTTAAATCTTAGGGACCTTGACTTCAAGGCTAGAGCTCAACTTTTCTAAAAACAAAAAAACCCAACCAATTATTTAATAAAATCCATTTATTTCCAATTTGTATCAAATTAGGTCTGACTAAAGGACTGATGTGATGGTAAGTTGTCCGCTGCTCCGCTTTGAATATTGTTAAGAACTTGACACAGAGATTACTTAATGGATTTTAAGCAAAATGGTGCCTAAATTCAATGGCATATTTTGGCAGCTGTTTGTTTTTTTTGGGGTTTTTTTGGATTTTCACAAGAATTGCTAGTTCTCCTAGAGTTTTTGCCACCCCAACAATCAAGTGATTCCCTATGAGCAAGCAATTAGCGACTCTGGGAAGGAAAAATTCCCTTCTAAGAGGAAGAAACTTCGAAAGAACCAGGCTCAGAAAGAGACAGCATTCTGCCGCGACTGGTAGGGACGGGCCTGTGCCTTTTACCCATTTCCAGGTAATGGATTGCCGAAATGTGATTTCCAATATTTAGACTATTGCAAATGGCTCGCCTGTGTACGAGTTTTCATTTTGAGGGACATTGAGCGGTCACTTGGAGAGGATGAGCAGAGCTTCAGCTGGATGTTTAGCTCATCGCTTCCCCCACTTACTCTCACATCTGTTCAGTACACGGTTGACCAAAACAATGAGCAGAAAGAGATAAACATAATATTTTATTCACATCTTCTATTGTACAAGATACAACCAACACTTGCTGTAGTCAGGGCAGGATGGAGACATAATGTTGACCCTGCAGAGTCTTGTCTTGCTGCTCAGAGGTAGGGCTGGTCTGTGGAGATTGGTGGCTCTTTATATACAGTGCCGGGAGTCACTGGAAGCTTTGAGGTCTCAGCAACTTGACTAAAATAAATTTAAAAACAAAACAAAAAAAAACAAAAAACGGAACAACAACAGAGAAAGAAGGGGGAAAAAAAGACCACAATATTTCAGCTAAAAACTACAAATAGCAAACTTCCATTGTCAGTCACAAGAAGATGTTTTGACAGGTGACATCAAATAGATGGATTACACTATTATTATGTATATGGCGCAAAAAACAAACACCTGAACTTGAAATACATGAAAATACAGTGATCATTAACAAACCTGCCAGCAGTAAGAGCTTTCTGTGAGGACATCACGAGTGTGGGAGGGGCTGATTCTCTCCGTCCATCTCTGCTGTAGTAGTAGTTGTTGGCATACCTGTGGCTCGGGCCTACTGGCAGTTTGGGTGGTGGTTGTGTCCTGTTGGGATGAAGAAAAAAAAAATCTATTTTAACAGACTCTTAGTCAAGCTTTCTTGTCATTTCTTTATGTAGTCCTCAGGAATAGTTCTCCAGGCTTCTTGAAGCTCTGGAGAACTCTTCTTTGGATGTCGGCTGGCTTTTGTTCTGTTCTCTGTCAACATGATTCCACTCCATCTAAATAATATTGTGGTTCGGGCTTCAGGGAGGCCAATCCAAGCCTGATAGTGTTACATTGTGTGTTTTTCTAACCAGATTTGTTATTACTACATTGGTAGTGTGTTTGGGATCATTGTGAAGCTGAAAAATGAAGCTGTTGCCAGTCAGACACTGGCAGTGATGATGCTTTTTGTGCAATCATAACTCTAGCATTTTTGAGAAAATCTCAAAATACAGCCCCAAACCAGCACAAAGCTTTGATTTTTCTTTTACAGATGGCTGTAGACATTCACTGTGGTACTTCTCTCGTCCATATACATTGACAGCGATTTATACAACAAATTTGAATTCTTCGTTAGTTGGTTTAACAAACAAAAACAAAAAGCAAGTCTGGCAACCCACAGAGTCATTGCATCTCTCTGTTAACGGGGTTGTAGTCGTTGTTTCTAATATGTGAACACTTTCATTCGTGAGCGGTACGAGGGTAGCGCCTGTGGTCTTACCTCTTTGCAATCTCCTCATATCGCAGCTGCAGTTTGGCTTGCAGGTCATGCTGAAAAGGAAAAGGAAAGTCAATTTTCGAAGAGTGCAAATCCCACACTGGTGAACTTCACCTCCTTCATAGTGTTTAGCTACCCCACAACGTCAGTAAGGGTTAGCTGGCTGTTAAACGTTTCCTTTGATAAAGTTTATTGCGACAAATCATCCGGAGGGCTATTACATCATATTTAGAGCAGAAAACTACTCCGTTTTAAAGTGTGACGAATGTTGTTGCTTACCCCTGATAAAAAATTTCGCAGCCTCTGAATGAATTTAGTAGCAGTAGCCATGTTAGCTGTTGTGAAGGACACGGGTCTTCTTCGTTCCTTTTCCCAGGTTTCTCAACACATTGCTGACACCTGCCGACCAGCAGGGGAAACTGCAGCGTAAAAACGTGCATTTTAGAGACTTTTGTTGTTTTACAATTTATTTATGTACTCCGAGGGCCAAATTAACTTAGATAAAGTGGATGAACACAGACACTCTGTACAACTAATCTTTATCTTCTTTAGTAAAGGCCTGGCAGAGCAGCTCATAATTATTTTTTTAAATTACAGTATTTTGTCCAATTACTTTTGAGCCTTTAAAAAAAACAGGACGTGTGTATAAAAATGACTGTAATTCATTTTTATACACACAATTTTCCAATCCCTGTATTTAAAAGATGATAATCTGCATATTGATTACATCTTGATTTACAGTCCACTGTGATGGTGTACAAATCCCCAACTACAAACATTGGTGTCTTTGTTCAACAAATTATGGCCCTAACTATTGCTATGGCAGTATGGACAGTAGTAAATTTTGACCGAATTCAAGTATTACCTGCTTGAAACTGCAGAACTCCTACGGATTTTAAAGTAAAACATTTTTGTTACTAGGTTAACCTCTGGACCCTTTATACTACAAGTGATTGGTCTATCTTGGACAGACATGCATACATTTTTATTGGTATGCATACAATACACAGCTTGATCTATTATCAGTAGGTAAAGTTGTAAAACTTATGAAAAAATTCAAAGTCCAGAATTTATGGCCTCCTTCAGATTTTCCAAAGTGATCTGTGAGCTGGATCAGAGTCCAATTCTAGACCCTGGCCCTTATGTTTGAGACACCTGCCTTAAAGGGAAGCCTTAATAACCTTCACAGTGTAATTTTGCTTCATCACATTTGTCTATTGATGAAGTATTTATATAGTGATATAGTGGAATGGTTGCTTGTAGAATTACAACACCTATACTGATGAAAAGGATTTGAATGGTCTGATCTGGTACATCAATGTAACAATAAGGCAGATAACTGTACGCAACACTCAGAGAAGAATCAAAGGGAAATACAAAGTTTATTTGTTGCACAAGAAAACACAGTAGAGGGCGACATCGCCGGTATACCATGCAGTCAAGTATTACAGCTGTGTGCTTGTCTCATGCAGCATGCACTGGACAGAAGAGTCCACAGGAGAACAAATGCACTTGTACGACACTTTGACCTGCCAAACTTGTTCTTTAAGAGTACGCTCAACAGAGGCTGAAAAATCCCTGTGGTGGACTTCAGCAAAGCATTTTTTTAACACATACAAGGTTATTAAAAAGCAACCAAAACATTATCCCTTATCATGTTTACATATGTAAATTGGCTTTTTCTGTATGCAAAAAGAAACCTCTAATGTAAATATATATTTTATTACTCATCTTTAACACTTTTACTTTTGGTGTAAAGCATTTTTCTCATGCACATAAGAACAAATATGCATGTTTCCATCCATCCCTTTTCCCCCACCTCCAATTAATTAATATTTAAAGCTTCTTTTTGAAGTCTGAACAACAAGTCCCAATGATCTCGTTCTGCAGGTACATGCAAATATCGAAAATGCTTCTGAGCTTGGTGCCAAACTACTCATTAAGAACAGTGTCTTTAAAACTAAACATAAAAAACAAACTGATATGCAGCTTCTATGAATGTCGTTTCCTTTGCGAGTATCAAAGAGGATAGTTTCATCGTGTACAGCCACAGAATATAAAATGTTTGTACAGTACACAGCATGTTTGTTCATTGTAAACAATTCTGTCAGACTGCAAAAATAACTGAGTGGTCCGTCTGTTTGCGTCACTAACACAACAACATCATCCCGTAAGGTTTTCATCACAAGATTTAAGGGTTTTTTTTTCCCTTCTATGGTTTTTAAGGAAGAAGAGGGGTTGAAGTAACACAACAGCTGTTTAGAAAGAGAAGACTCAGAGTAAAGTTAGTACAAAAGCCAGGAACAGCCACTTACAAAGAGGACGACAACTCTCCAAACGTCATGTCTGTTGTGGAGAAAATGTGATGTGCAGCCAGTCTGTGCAGCTGTCAAATACTGCCTGAATTTAAAAGACAGAATTCCCAAAAACTCCCTCTTGCCAGAAATTGTCTTCGTGCATATTATGTCCTTCAGTACACTTGGAATTATACACACTCTTGTTACCAAAATATACATCAAAATTTGCACAATACAAAGACAAAAAACCAAAAACACTTGTTCAAAGAAGCCCTGATTTCACTGTAAATATGTTTATCTCAGTTTACCTTTCACATTCGGTTACAAAAAACTTATGTCTAAATGTCATTAGTGCACTTTTCCCCTTTGGATGTAAACAGCACTGCACAGCACATGAAGTAGGACCAGGGCGTTTACGGATGGTCTCTTTCACATGCACATGTGGGAAAAAATAATGATTAAAATGGAAAAACGCTACAGCTTCTGGAAAAGGTGAAAAAAACAACAACCCCATAACGCACTTGTACGTACTTGTGTTTGCAAAAGTCCAACACGTGTCAGAGTAAGTAAGGAAACCTGGCCAAAAAACGAAAGTCAAATAAAATGAGTGTTTTAAACGCTCCCTTCCATATTCTGAAGTAAAACGGCGTGCTGTGAGATGAACGCGCCCGATCAAAGAGTTCGACTGATAAACTCACAGCACACAGAAAGGTGGACGTGGATCATCCGGAGCTTCAGGCTCGGCGTCTTTTTCCACAATAGCAGTGGAAACGAACAAACAAAAACCCCAAACAAATCTTCATAGTGACTGAAAATTACAAGTAACATTTCTGCCTTCAACGATATGGCTTCTTAGAGGACATTGCACAAGATGCCATGGCACATAAAAACCCTTCGGCTCCGTATCTTCATAAGAGAAGACAAAGGTGGGTAGTGTCTCACCGCGTTTGCAACATTATTCTCAGCAAGAATAAAAAAAAAACAATGCCGTTCCCGTGAATTCACACTGTGAGGAACATGACCAACACAACAAGCTGTGCAAGATTAAAGTACATGAAGGGATAAAGCCATCAAGGAAACATGGACCAAACATCTTCAGAGCCTCTTCTTTGATACGACCGTTTTATTAACAGTTCTGTTTTTCTCCCCTGCATTCTAGTTTGAGCGTAGTAGCTTCAGTTTTACTCCTAAAGGATGCATCAATACAAATCCATGCAGTACTGTAGCCATCAGCTGCAGAGATAGATCCAATGACGTGTCAGTCATGTTGCTCACAGTGTGAACCAGAGATCGTTTTAGGTTCAGGAAGACCTACAGCAGTACTACAAACACACACAGACACTGAAGAAAAAAAAAAGCGACCTTGACTCCTCGTACCTTTTGGTCCAACAGTTTTACGCAGCATTAACACTTCTACTCTGTACCAGAATTTATTTAAAAAATAGACAACTTTTGTTTTTTTTTAGAAAACAATCCATTCAGAAGACATAAAACCACATTTTATGGATACAAAAATGTTGAGCCTTGGCTGGTCAACCCATGAGAACATCTTTCTTTTCCCCTGTTACAAACGCATCATGAAATGTAATAAATAAGACCAGAAAGGTCAGCGATGCCTGAAGGCAACTGTTTTTTTTTACAAAACAAAATTCAAGTAAAAGTTTCTCCCGCTCTTTCAGCCCGACAACTTTGAGAATGACTTAACATCTTCGTCACCCTTGAAAGACAAGAGCAGGTTTTAGGAGTACAACGGCGAGCTGTCACTTTCTCAGGTGCCCTTTTTGTGTTTGCTCTCTGCACTCTGGTGTCTTCTCTGGTGCAATTTTAGGACCCGTGGAAGTGGTTTCTGCTCCCTGCCTGCAGCTCATGTTGGTGAGAAGACATCCTGTTTGTTCCCGCGGAGATGCTGTGACGTCCACCTCCACCTCGGGCTTCTCACCAGAGTCCTCTCCATCTGAACACGGCTCCCACTCGTCTTGCTCCTCGCTCTCCGTCGAGCCCTGCACAGCTATCTGCGGCACAAGCGTGAACCTCCTCACCACGGGGACGTCCATCTCGATGTCCTGACTGCTTTGGGGTCGTGTCACAGTCCAGGCCGCTCTGTGCTGCGTTTGAGCCCCTGGAGGTGTGCTGCTCCCCGCTGCATTACTGCTGCTTTTCTCCTCTGGCTCGTCGAAGCTCACTTCCTGCACTGCCTCCTGCTTCTTAAAGGAGTCTCTCCGCTCTGACAGGTTCAGCTTCCGCATCACAACCAGCTGCTCTGATCGTTCAATCCTTTGGCTGCTAATGTACGGCCCAAGTCTGCTGTGGTCAACCCCAATGTAAGCGATGCCACAGGCTGCGTCCATCTCTGAGTCGCCCAGCAGGTCAGCCTCACCGTAAAACGGCACTTCCAGCGTGTGCCTGCGGGGGGCTTTTGACTTCTTGTCAGCGTGATATACTCCAGACAGTTTCTCCGCTGACTGCACCCTCTTAAGCAACGGTGAACGAGGCGGCTCTGCACTGCGTGGCCGGACGACATGCCTAACGATGGTGGGGGGAGACAGGGTTTTTCCGTGGTACGTGTGAAGGTTTTTGGCGAAGCCTGGCAGAGGAGAGGGCGAGCGCTGTGGGGAAAGCGGCTGATTAGAGGATGAGGAGCTGCTGCAGGCCAGAGGCGAGGGGGGGATGTTGCTGGTGGATTTGCGGCGGCCCACTTTGCTGTAGCGTTGCGGGCTGAGTTTAGAGCCCAGGCCGAGCGTGATGGGCCGGCTGTGTGTGGCGGGAGAGCTTGGAGAGCTGGAGCAAGGCGACGTACTCTGTGGTGAGTTATTCTCTGGAAAGTAGAGGCAGGACTGTTGAAATACTCACACTACAAGCTGCAGTTTGCAGCAGGGCAAACAACACTTTTAAATTTCAATTCTATTTCAGTTCAGTTTTATTTATGTAGCACCAAATCACAATAACAGTCACCTCAAGGTGTTTAATATTGTAAGGTAAAGACCCCACAAAAATACAGAGAAACCTCAACAATCAGACGACTGCCTATCACAAAGCACTTTGGCAACAGTGGGAAGGAAAAACCCCCTTTTAACAGGAAGGATCCTTTAGGCTGAGGGAGGGGCAGCCATCTGG